GGTTTTGAGCTTGGAATTCTTCAGGGGTAAAAGGTTTTGAGCTTGGAATTCTTCGGGGGTAAAGGGTTTTGAGCTTGGAATTTTGGAATTCTTCAGGGGTAAAAGGTTTTGAGCTTGGAATTCTTCAGGGGTAAAGAGTTTTGAGCTTGGAATTTTGGAATTCTTCAGGGGTAAACAGTTTTGAGCTTGGAATTCTTCAGGGTATGACAATGAAAAACATGTATCCTCGACAGGGGGGGTACGGATATTAAATGGAATAGCCCATTTCACACTGAGTACACTGCAGTTTACACAGGCGGTTGTTCCATAAAATTCGTATCGATATGACACCAATATGCTTCTCAGAAAGTAGTTATTTATTAAAACTACGTTGTGCAGTTTAAGTTATAACCTTTTACCTTGAAATTGTCTTTGGCTCGTTTATATTCAGGTTCAGTATATTTATGATCGGGCTCGGGAATTCCACGATACAAATTTCGGATTTTCAGAGCCGTGCACCAAGAAAAACGCATTAAATAAACTACCAAGAATGTCCAGAGTTAGACACTATCCAAAATCCATAGAAAACAGGTACAACTGGTTCAAAATTTTCACAAAATTGTTTAAAACATTTTGTCCACTCCGCGAAAGTGCCCGCCATTTAGAAAAGTATCAAGCAGCTCATTAATATTCTATTTTGTGGCTATCGACGATTGGAGATTGGAGATTGCCGATCCATGATGCCGAAACCTATACTCGCCCGGGGCACAGGTGCCCCAGCTAGTAAATATGGAGATTTCTGGACATTTTATCCCCGAGCCGACGGCGCGAAGCGCCGTGCGAGGGTACTAATTCCCCCCGGCTATTTACACCCGGGAAAACGGAAGCATTAGCGAAGTCTAAAGTTCATCAAATATCGCGGGCGTGGGTCACCAACCGTGGGTGGCCATCCTCACTGATCTCAAAGATATGACGGACTGTCATGAATAGCGAACAGTGTGATTGGTCCAATTTAAAGTTTGCATTATAACGACTGCATGACGACAGCAAATAGCAAACATTTCTTTATTTGATGATTGATAAATTTCTTGCAAATATATTTCATTTTTGCTCGCATTTTTGCAAGATTTTGTAAATTTCAAGAAAGAAATGGCGAAAGAATCGGCTAAAAGAAGGGAGCCGACGTTAACGAAGGTAAGTTTGTTTTAAATATTGATTTTATAATTGCTTTAAAACCCGACGGCCTTTGCGTATATGAAACAACTAAACAAGACAGCATATATAATTTCAGTGTATCTTTTTAATATTGATTCCCTTTTTTATTATATTGAATTTTTTTAAATAAAAAAGAAAGCAAAGTTATTTGCATGCGAGAATTTGAAATCATTTTATTCAAACTCAAAGTTTATCGATAAAGCCATTTAATTAAAGAATAAAGGCAATTTAGTTTTATCATGAATAAAATAAAATAAGCGTTTGTGATTGAATTTTACCTTAAATTGAAGTTTATATTGCGTATAATATCATACCTAACATATATATGTTGGGAAATTGATAATTTTGTAATTAAAAGTGATATTTTTAAGCGATTTTTCATTTGTAAGAATATTCTTAAGAAATTATCGTGTTACCATGACAACTACTTTAAATACTTCATGTTCGGAAAATACAATGATTTTGTCAGCAAGGCGAGGGTTTCTGCATGCATGTATTTTCTAGTAATTATGTTAATATCGATTTATCATTTATACTCATATGTTAAAACTTCACATTATGTACTATTTAAAACACGAGTAGGACTGTTTTGTCAGATATAAAATGCGAAGCACAGCCGGGCGTTTTATGTCTGATATTTATAATAAGACACTCCTACTCGTGTTTTAAATAGCTTAAAATACGACTACAAAAGAATACTAATTAGGACAAACAATTATATAGAATGCTAATTAGGATGAACGATTATATAATGCCACATGCATACATGTGTTTTATCAGATTTTTAAGTCGCTCCACGTGATGTAATATGTATAGGATAGACAATGATCACGTGTGTTCAGTGGGATATAGACTCCCGAGAATTAGTTAGACGGCCACGAGGGCCGAAGACCCGAGTGGCAGTCTAACTAATTCGAGAGAGTCTACAATCCCACTGAACACAAGTAGTGATCATTGTCTATCCGACTTAGAACATGATCACCCCACGAGGAATGTCTGTTTTAATTAGGTGTATTGTTAACAAATAATTAGTATTGTTCCTTTTTAATTATGATGAAGTAGGTTTTTTCGATCGGGCATTAGTTTATTTTGCCGAAGGGATTTTAACTACAATGTTTGGTCTTTGTTTGGTTTTCAGCGTTTGATTGATTCGGTTTTAGGGTTCATTAATATGTCAGTAATTGGCATAGGCGTTTTTCGAAAGCATGGACGGGGCTGTCGCAGCGAAGCAACTTGTAGCGATTAATGCGACACAAGATTTCTTGCTTTCAGGACTATTGGTTAACAAGATTTGTTTTTGGAAGCTATAGGAGAGGTGGCAAGCCATAACTGTCATACCCAGTGAACAGTTTATGTAACATTGTTACTGCGGGTTATTCAGACATTTCAAAGACGATCTTATATATGAGGTTTCATTTGAACATCCTGACAAAGAACGACGCCAATTTTTCATCATTTAGAGCTTTGGATTCAAAGATGAAAGAAATGACAAATGCTGCCATTAGCACGACGAAAAATGTGACAGACAGATCCTTTAACGTTAGCAGACGAAGAACTGTTCTCGTCGTCAGGCACTGTACTGGTTACTGAACGATACTCATTTGTTATATCTCGGCTGGCGTGTGTGTGCATGCATGGGAGTGTTGAGTGTGTGTGTGTATTTGTGTGTGTTTGTATTTGTGTAAGGATTATGTGAAGGTACAGCTGTATTTTTGAGCTTTATATTAAGTAAAATTTTTTGCAGTAAACAATTTGTCTTTGACGCCTTCAAATGTAATTCATTAGTATGCTCTATATAGCGCATACTAATGAAGCTACAAAAGAAAAGAAAACAATAGACTCATTAGTATGCTCTATATAGAAGAGTGCTTCAAAGACCACTGAAATACTGTGTTCTGATCGGCCGAGTGGGTGTGATCATGTTCTAATTTTGTGTTATATTAACTTTTATCAACGGGGTTAATTAGAATGTATTTTCAAATCCCCGGGGCAAAATAAGTAGCACCGACCTTGCACCGACATCGAAATGCTAGTAAGCAGCAGAATTACGCAAATTATAGTGTTTGCAGGTTTTTGATACACCCTGTAGTTTTCGAAGTAACATGGCTTTAATTTGACGTCCTTGGGTGCAAGTTTTGCTCCATGACCATGTTGTTCGGTATTCGGTTCTTAACGACTTCGCTTCAGTAAAATCAAAAGAAAGGCAATCTGGTGAAGAAGTATATTCAAGCAAAGTAAAATATCAGCTAAGCACGTGTCTGACTTTATTCCTTCTTTAGCCTGGTTCACATATGCCTGCGGTATGCCTGCGCTATCTGTTGTTCACACCTTTTCAGAGCAGTTGTTGATGCAATTGTTTTGTGAATTATTTGGTTGAACTACTATAACGACAATATACCCAATAGCCCGCCGACATACCGCAGGTGTAAGTACGTATATGTGAACCGGGCATGCAGTTGAGTCATTTAAAAGTCGTGCTTTATCAGATAAAACACTCGAGCTGCGCTCTCGTGCATGTTCTATATCTGATAAAACACTCGTCATGCTCGCGTTCTAAAAAGGATACATACCACACAGTCCGCACTCACTGTACAGTTCTGGTTATGAGATAGTTTGAAGTAATGTTTGTGGTCTTTATATATATATATATATATATATATATATATATATATATATATATATATATATATATATATATATATATATATATATATATATATATATATGTATATGTATATGTATATATAATACATGCAAGATATGAACGTACTGAATATAGTTTGAAGAGTACTCAATACCATGCATGTAATATTGATAGAGCTTTATAATTGTCTTGCCCACTTAATAATTAAAATATTAAGGTCGCTCATACAGTTCCGTAGTATAAATACCTTATTGGGTAAAAATTTCAATTTATAAATTTTATCACTTCATCTATTAATTTTAAGCATTCCCGAGTATAAATTAAGTATTTGGTAGAAAACATTTGCAATATTCTTGAACATAATATTGTTTCCATGGTAACAGTAGTCTCGCCAAATATGGTATTTTTTTGCTATTTTAAGGAGGTTTTTATTATTTATTTTCCGAATATTGCCGGTGACACCCCAGTTTTAACTGCTGTACAGCTTTCACTTTTAATGCGGAATCTTATCCCTGAAAATAAAAAAAATCTGTAGATTAGCAGAGCCAGAATAAAAAATTGCGGATTTAGAGTTTTCCAATCTACAGATTTTTTTAAAATTTTGATATTCTATTTGTTTTAAAAGAAGTTATCGTTGTGCAAAATTTCATCGCATGTCACCGTGCAAAATTTTGAATTACGCCGTTTTATTGTGGTATCTCACTCGCTCGGCCGAACGTTTTTCGAGCTCTGCAAGATCAACGAATTGACATGCGCATACATGTTTTCGCCGGCGCATCTCCAGAAAAACACGCACAAAAAGTCAAAAAAGTTTTTGCTCTCGTCGAAATATCAAATATATGTTGTGTTTTCTTGCTTAGAAATGCAAATATATTTAGTTTTGCATGCTAACTCGGGATAACGCCAAGAAAACAGGTGATTGTGTCGTTTGGTATAAGATATGTGTGACATGTATGAACTTTTTGGCTTCTCTACATAGTTTATATTCATTTTCAGTCGTAACTTGTGTATTTTCATGTTGTTGTTGACAATTTAAAACAGTTTGAGCCGGCGCATGATGCTGTTTCACTGAATTCCTTTGCTGTTAGTAACACTTTGAATACATTTACCAATTGTAAGTACAAAAATCTCTGGATATGAAATTATAAATCGCCAAAATTTGAGTAAAAAACTTTTCGCCGATCGGGCCGATCGCCGGTTTTCACAAGAGTTTAAACGTTGAACGTTACGTTTTTTACTTTAAAATGTCTTCTAAAAAGACTAGTTATTCAATTTTCAGTGCTAAATCAGGACGAAGTTTGGTTTTTGAGAACAAATGAGAACAAAGAAGACTCAAAACATCAAAATTTATCTTGACTTGTGGTTCGGATTTTAGACTGAAAAAGTTGTATTTATTTTTGCATATATTTTTAATATTTTCGCGCGAAAACTCAAGATTAGGTACCAGTCCCCCGATTATGAAAAGTGTATGGAGCCACCTCAAATAAGTCGCGAGTCCGAGTTTCACGCTTTTTACGATCCTCAGGCGACGATTATTATTATTAGTCGCTGGGCAGAGCCTGCAGCGACTCTAGGTTTCGGCACGCATTTGTGTCGGATCTTGGATCGTTAGCCACAAAATGACAATTACGTCATTAATAAGAAATAAAAATTACGTCATTACTATTCGTCGCTGAATTCAAGATGGCCGCTTACTACGAGCGAATGGTATTATCGATTTTGTACATATTTTTTTTATTTTTCCGATGAACCTTAAAAGTTTTCCGATGAAACAGACTTTATAAAGCGAAAGTCATTTTATGTGAGTAAACTTGGAAGGCTACAAGCTTGAAATAGAGGACAAAAGTTCACAATTTTCAATTTTACAAAGTTGGAACGGGCCGCAACCTTTGTAAATCGCAACAATAATATTCGCAAACTGCTGTTTATTTGGGTGCTTTTTTACGGCTGTTGATGCAAATAATCCTGTTACGGATAGGTGGTCAAAAGAACATGGTGTAGCCTAACAAGACCGAAATACAACCACAGTGATCACCATTCATCACTACCTGTGTGAAATTTAAACTTTGCCGCTAGGTGTCAGGCTTTTAAATCTGTAATATTTCAGTCATTTTATGATCAATGTATTGTGTTTCTAACGCCGAACGGGAAAATGTTGGAGCCACAGTAATAGACTCTTTCAAGGTCAAGATGCCATAATGAAACACGAAGTGTAAGGGCTGCAAACACAATGGAAATTCCTACTAGTAAATTTGCAAGATTGTATAAACACAATGGTGAAAACAATAAAGCCTGCTACTGAAATAAAGCCTGCTACTGAGGTTAGTAAAAAGGATTGATGCACATGATTCGTACGCAAAATTCCCATTGGTCAGAAATAAATACAGTAGCTTTGTTTTTAAGGTAATGCCAAATTGTTGTTTATGTAATGATATTCCGTGCTTGTAATTGTACTTTAACTACTTTTGGGCATGTTAATGACTGCCTTTGCTGCAGTCAATAACAGTTATTATTATTATTATTATTTAATATGTAATTCCTGGCCATTCGATGAAAATTGGAATATTTAGTTTTGAGATATTGGTGGAAAAGTTGGCCGTTATTGTCATATTTTAAATTAGCTTTGATAATCTAATGTATCAATTAATTCCAGCAGTTCCCACCCCTGGGCCTTTGCAGCTTTTCCTAATAACGGGGGTGGGGCTATTGCCGATATTTTTTAGCCCTGAGGTGAGGATTTTGACATTTTCCATCATGGGGGATTTCGTAGATTTGCTGGAAAACTGATATTTAATTTGATTGCAAATGGCTTGTGGACATAGCCATTTTCTTCCCAGAAATGGCTAATACCTCGGGGAGATGGGCACTGCTGGAATTGACTGATACGTAATTAACAATCGCCATTTTGATTGGTTGTTATTTTTGTGCATCCCAATCACTGTCCACTTTTTATTGACTTCAGTAACAGGCTTACCCTGTGGGCAAAGTCCTCTCGTATTTCTTCTCAGCACGAGAGAGACTCTGCAGAACTTGTGTATATTCTTTGTGGAGCCAACAATCCAAAAACTTGGATAATTATGAGTAATTTCAGGTTTGATACCAGTTTTATAGCCGGTTTTGATCCGAACCGGAAACTACTTATTAAATCTTCTTCTGGGAAATAGGCAGTTGCTTAGCAACCTTTGCGCATGCTCAAATGAATTTATACACAAGTTCTGAAGAGTCTCTCTCGCTTCTCCGTGCCGTGCCAAGTAGAAATACGAGAGGACTTTGCTCACAGGGTATAACAGGCTCTATTTCAAGCATCGAGCCTGACACGCAAGCTACCTTCAAAGGGCCTATTTGGCAACTTCTGTTGTGGTTACCCAGCCTGAGGCAAAAGTAATAAATTTTGAATTGTTATAAATGTTCTGTGAAGTGCACATATTTTTCCTGCAGTTAGGGACCAGTCCTTATTTATGGAAGAGGGAGGGGGAGGCAAAAGGTGGGGCCATGACCCCATGAGTATAAATAATTTACTAGAAGGGGGGGGTGCATTAAATGTTTTGAGAAAATCAGTTGAAGGGTCAAAATGTGGAGTTGCAATAAATTTGTTTAAGCCTGGTTTCCAGTGTCCTCGAAGTTGGCCTAAGCCAGATAAATCCAATAAATGATATCAACCTCATACCCAGGGCTTCTGCGCTTATACACTGCTCTCAGAAGAGAGAGCAATAAGCGCAGAAGCCCTGCGCAGAAGACCTTATTTTAATAGCCCCAGCGACTAAACGCTCAACAGAGCGTCTTGTTATTATTAGTATTGTCGTTGTCGCTGTACGCTGCACGCTGCACTTTGCACGTTGCACGTTGCACGTTGCACGTTGTACGTTGCACGTTGCACGTTGCACATTGTACGTTGTACGTTGTAGGTTGTACGTTGTACGTTGTACGTTGTACGTTGTACGTTGTACGTTGTCGTTGTCGTGGTCGCTGTCGTTGTACGTTGTTGTTGCTGTTGTACGTTGTTGTTGTTGTTGTTGTTGTTGTTGTACGTTGTTGTTGCTGTTGTTGTTGTTGTTGTCGTGGTCGTTGTCGATGTCGCTGTCGTTGTTGTTGTCGTTGTCGCTGTCGCTATCATTGTCGTTGTCGTTGTCGTTGTCATTGTCGTTCTTTTTTGTTGTTGTACGTTGTTGTTGCTGTTGTACGTTGTTGTACGTTGTTGTTGTTGTTGTTGTTGTTGTTGTTGTTGTTGTCGTTGTCGTTGTCGTTGTCGTTGTCGTTGTCGTTGTCGTTGTCGTTGTCGTTGTTGCTGTCGTTGTACGTTGTTGTTGCTGTTGTACCTTGTTGTTGTTGCTGTTGTACGTTGTTGTTGTTGTTGCTGTTGTACGTTGTTGTTGATGTTGTCGTTGTCGTTGTCGTTGTACGTTATTGTTGCTGTTGTACGTTATTGTTGCTGTTGTACGTTGTTGTTGTTGCTGTTGTACGTTGTTGTTGTTGTTGTCGTTGTACGTTGTTGTTGTTGTTGTCGTTGTCGTTGTCGTTGTCGTTGTCGCTGTCGTTGTACGTTGTTGTTGCTGTTGTACGTTGTTGTTGTTGTTGTTGTTGTACGTTGTTGTTGTTGTTGTTGTACGTTGTTGTTGCTGTTGTACGTTGTTGTTGTTGTCGTGGTCGTTGTCGATGTCGCTGTCGTTGTCGTTGTTGTTGTCGTTGTCGCTATCATTGTCGTTGTCGTTGTCGTTGTCATTGTCGTTCTTTTTTGTTGTTGTACGTTGTTGTTGCTGTTGTACGTTGTTGTTGTTGTTGCTGTTGTACGTTGTTGTTGTTGTTGTTGTACGTTCTGTTGTACGTTGTTGTTGTTGTTGTTGTTGTTGTTGTTGTTGTTGTTGTTGTTGTTGTTGTTGTTGTTGTTCATTGTTGTTGTTGTTGTTGTTGTTGTTGTCGTTATCATTGTCGTTGTCATTGTCGTGGTCGTTGTCGCCGTCGCTGTCATTGTCGTTGCTGTTGTACGTTGTTGTTGCTGTTGTTGTACGTTGTTGTTGTTGTACGTTGTTGTTGCTGTTGTACGTTGTTGTTGTTGTTGTTGTTGTCGTTGTCGTTGTCGTGGTCGTTGTTGCTGTCGTTGTCGTTGTCGTTGTCATTGTCGTTGTTGTTGTACGTTGTTGTTGCTGTTGTACGTTGTTGTTGTAGTTGTTGTTGTTGTACATTGTTGTTGTACGTTGTTGTTGTTGTTGTTGTTGTTGTTGTTGTTGTTGTTGTTGTTGTTGTTGTTGTTGTTGTTGTTGTTGCCGTTGTTGTTGTTGTTGTTGCCGTTGCTGTTGTTGTTGTTGTTGTTGTTGTTGTTCGTTGTTGTTGTTTGCTTGTTGTTTGCTGTTGTTG